AATAATAATCAACTGTTACTATCATATCTTGTAAGTTGATGAAAAATAGGGGGAAAAAAATACAAGAAATAACTTTATGATATGTTTGGGTTACAAATTTTTAAATGCAATTTTTGAGCTTACATTACTTGAACAGTTCCAAAAATGAATATAATTTGAATTAACTCAACAGGTAATATAATCAACAATATCGTTAGCAATGATAAGTTTATTATCTCTGTTTTTTTTTTTAATAAAATTTAAATTAAGCTTAAATGCTAATTCATTGAATGATAAATTAGCATTAACTATAAAGAAAATGTCTAATTGCGCATTTTAGCGTGCACATCTACTTACATTTAGCATATTATATTTCTGATAGACAATAAAAAAAGACTTTATCATTATCAAAAAAAAAAACCATACGAGAAATGAAATAATGATAAAATACCATAACGTATAGAATGTGATAGTTCACGTCAATTACAATCTTACGTCTAAAGAAACGTTTATCACGTATTTCTATTTTCAACAAAATTTCATATTTTATGCATTTCTACAATATGATCCGAGTGAATAATTCCTTTTTTCTCTTTTTTTCTTTTTTTTTTTTTAATTTCTTTTACCAATAATAAAAATGATTCAAATGTTAACACCAACAACTTGGCATGTTAATAAATTAAAGTAAAAGAGATTTGTCTAAAAGAAAAAAAGAGCCAAGCTAAAAAATCTTGGCTCAATATTTTATTACTCTCCCATTTGAAATATGTCATTTAAAATTTGATTAATAATGCATTAAAAAAAAAAAAGAAGGCAAAGGACAAAAATATGTTCATAGAAAAAAAGCAATATCGTTATTTACATTCGTTTTTTTTCTTTTCTTTTTCAATTCAAAATTTGGGAAACTTTTTGGAATTAATCAAAATTTGCATGAATGAGTGTTATTCATTGAATTCAAAATTTTGTTCGTTTGTTACAAATTGATGATTGCAACAGATTGTTTGCTAACTAACAAAAATATTTTAATATTTCTTTGTAACTTTGATGATTTTCATAATCGTAATTACAATAACTATAATCATCATTATCAACATTATAATCGTGATAATTTCATACTTCATGCATTTTCCAATAGAAATGATCCTTTTCTCCCTTTCGTTTTTCATTTTCCTTCTAGAAAAATTAAAAACAGAAAAATCTGTAGTTAATAACAAATATTAATTATGAATTTTAAATTGAAAATTAAAGATTTTTAAATTGAAATAACTTCTCTAAGTTATTTTGTTTTTCCTGCAAAATAAAAGTATCATTGAAAAAATGATTTTCAATTTTATGCTAAAAGAAATTGGTTTCTTTCTTTCTTTCTTTTCTTTTTTTTTTCTTTTTGCTTTTCATTAGACCAAAGTTTTATGAAGTGAATTTTGATATAGACTAGAGCAAAAGATTTTGGGAGAGAAAAAAAAAAGGGGGGGCTCAT